TTAGTAACCTACAATAATGGTTATATTCACCACTCCTTCTCTTCCCGCAAAATTTACTGTCGTCAAAGGGGCATTTAAGTTTTAAAAACTGATTTTAAAAAGTCAGTGTGGTTCATCTCACCTACATAGTTAAATATTTCCATGGTTCGCTACCATTTGACTGTTTTATTTTTCTTCATCATGCGTACCAATATCTGACACTGTACTATATATTTGCTTATTTGTCTGTCTTCTCTCATTAGAACATGACTCCACAAATATAAGGGCTCTACTTGATCTATTTTCTAGTGTATCCTTAGCACACAGAATGATGCCTGGCACATAGTAGGTGCTCAGTAAATTTGCGCTGAATGCACTAACCCATGAATGAATAAGCCCATTTCCTACCTCTTTTTTGTAAGCTCTTCGGTCCCACTACATGGATTTTTATTAGATTCCCCTACCAACTGGAACTTGCAAAAATCATTTAAATTTCTCCCAGGTCCTAGTTACACCATGTGTAAAATGGGATTAATAATGGCTCTCCTACTTACCTTCAGGGATTGTTATGATCATCAGTTAAAATAATGTATGTCAAAATGCCTTAAAAGCTATAAATTGCTATACAAACATGAGCCACTATGATTCCCATCCCCACCCTGCCCCACAATATTATATCACTTCATAGCCTTACCTACCTTTGGAATCTACTTTGGAACCAAGAAGAAAAAAGGGGCTTCAGAGAAACCAACATCAAAATAAAGATGATGAAGTCTCTGCATGCCAATGTATGTGGTTTTCTCGTAATAAAGTCCCTAGGCCTCCTCTCACAATCTTCTTCCTTTCTCACAGGCTTTACTTCCAAATCTAACAAGTTTGCTTCCCCTCTTTTGGTGGACCAGGAAGGGGGAAGAGGGTAATTGTCTGAAACAGGTATGTTGATAACAGAGCGCTATATCACTTTTCCTGCTGCCTTGAGCAAATGGCAGCACCAGACCCGTAGACTCCCCAACCATGGGGATCTGGGACTCTCAAGGGCAGAGGCAAGCTGCCCCAATTCCCCTGTGGGTAGCGGGTCACTAGGTGGCCACTGGGGAAAGACAGAGTCACCGTGGTGATCCTCTGTCATTGAGGAAAGGTTCAAGTACAGTCGGTTCTGTATTTACGAAGCAGAGAAGGGTGTGTAATGAAGTCCAGGTAGACTTCCAAACAAAATGGTGAAAATACAGACTGTTCCCAGCCAAACAAGCTAACCTGCAGTTATAGATGGAAAATATTCTCGGCTAAACAGCTGATGTTATTAGATATATTAGGCTTTATACCATATTGCTCTCTGAACACAGTGGAGAAAAAACTTTGGGTGACGATGTTTAGTACCTCACACTGTTTATTTTAAATGTGGCTTTGACAGGCTGATGGGATAGGATGTGGATTTTAGCAAATGTACAACACAAAGAAAGAAGGCTCTCTATAGTTAGCTCCATCCACATGTGGCAGATATCATTTGTGAAGAAGCCACTCTGTGGCTTAGGACAAATAGGACATTTTAATCCTAGCTTGGCCCTACCAGGTACTTCTGAGTTTGAAAACAAATTTACATTTTCAGTCACCTAAGCAAGCCTTAATTAGAAATGCAAATCTGCTATGTGTACCAAAGGGTCAAATACTACCTCTAAGACAAAGAGATAGGCTTTGGGGATTATGCAGTGTTTTGAATGAATGGTAACAGCACTTCTTTCCAGTAGTGTGGATAATTAAGAGACAAATCTCTAATGTAACTAACAACTAGTCCCCACAAGGAACTAAACCAATAAGCTGTGTGCCAAAAACCTCACAGGGCAACACAGATGAACTTACAGACTTCAGAGCCAGAAACAACTCGGGAGAGGATTTTATCCATGGTTGTTAAACCTGGCTGCAAATGAGAAGGACCTGGGGAGCATTAAACAATACTAACTCCGAGACCCCACACTCCAGAGATTGTTTTAATTTGGCAGGCAACCTGGCACTCATACTTGTCAAAGCTCCCCAGGTGTTTCCAAGATGTAGCCAAGGTCCAGACTCACTGAATTAGTCCCCTGGTTCCCAAACTTGCGCTATAGATCAGCTCTCTAAAAAGGAATTTCCAAGCTCCCCCCAGAACTACTGAAGTAGAATCTCTGGACGCAAGAGGCTGGAAATCTCTATTTAAAAAAGATAAAAACAAAAATGAATAAAAAAACAAGTATTAACGCTGCCCATTCTGGTGTGAGGACCACTGATTTAAGAGGTGCGAGTCGCTGGTGAGCTGGGACGCTGGCTCTTCAAAACAGAAAACAGAAACAACAAAACAGAACAAAACAACAAACCTTGATGTGTAGTACCTGCCAATTTCCAGGGTGTAAATATTCCCTCCGTGGCGGAGTTCGAGCTACCAACGTGCCCTGACTGAAAGCAGTGTTGGAAAGAGAACACAGTGACTCTTGGAAGGTAGTGCTAGCAGGTTTCCCATGGCCAAACTGCTGTCACTTAAATCCTCGCTCTCCGACTTACTAGCCAGGTGACCTTGGGCATGCTATTAACCTCCCTGTGTCTCAATTTCCTCACCTGTGAAGCTGGTACTCTCTGCTCCCCCACTACGGTTGTTTTGAGAAATAAATGATTACTGTTATTTACCATAGGTAAACAAGGTACATATAGTACATATGTGTATTACATACTATTATTTTTCTATAAAATTGTTTATTTACTAAAACAATATTCTCACTATAATATTATTTGGTATAAAAAGGTGTTAACTTAATTTTAAAGTTTACCTTTGTCCTTAGCCATAATAATTGGTGAAATCATGGGTTTGATGTGCTAACCACATTTTTTCTAATACTCATTAGATAATTACTCAATTATCCTAAGAAAGAGGTTTGTCTATGCACTAACTAAAATCATCTTGCAGATGGCATCGTGTTTAAGGGGACTGGTTTAACTCTCAGTTCTACCACTTACCAACTGTGGGACCCTGAGCAAGTTAACAATGCTGTGCCTCTGTTTCCTCATCTTTAAAGTGAGGCTGTTGTAGAGATTAAATGTAACATGCTTAGAACAGCGCCTAGCACGCAGTGAATGCTTTTTGGGGTTTGGTTTACAATTGCAATTATGATTATTATATATCAACAGTGGTAAATGTACCACATATTGGAACATGCCACATCATTTTCTTCTGTCTCCCTAGAGGGTGAAAACTCTACTAATGCATTTTTGTTCCCTTTCCTGTAGATGTAGAGTCCATTTTTTTTCTTATCTTTACAATGAATCTAAAACTGGTTTGTAGGAATAAGGTCGATCCACATGAAATTGCTGATATTTGACTTTTTTTGACTTCCCCCAAATAACTGGCCCTCCCCAGTAATGTCAGTTGATAGCAATGATTGCCAGATCAAGTTTCTCCTGATATTTGGATCTTGCTTACAGGGCACCTGTTCAAACCTCATTGGTGAGATCTCCCCTCCACCTGCAGGCCTATAGAAAACAACCTCAGCCACCAGATCTTTGGGTTGGGAGACTAGGGTTTCAATTTCTATTACTGCTGAAGACCAGTGTGGGTCAGGGCTACCGTCAGCAAATTCATCCTCCCTCCCTACTTCACCCCGCCACCGTGCAATGTAGTGTGGGCACCCCCTTCCCCCTGCCCACGGGCCCTCTGGTGCTGAAATGTTTAGTGAGGGCCAGGTATGGTGCTGAGAGTCCCATATATGCGTGCCATTTAATCCGCACAGCAAACCTGTGGCTTGGGTATTATTACCTCTATTTTAAGGATGGAGAAACAGGCCCAGAGAATTTGAGTAGTTTGCTCCCTGTGAACTGGAAGTTTATACTTTGGGGCTTGAGAAAATAAATTACTTAACGCCTCTCCTTGCTGCAGTTATGTGCTAGCTTTTTCTCTTCTCCATTATAAAGACTATCCAGGTAAAGGAGTCAGAGGTCCCTCGATGAGAAGTATTATATAAATTCAAAGCATAATTATTGATTGTACATTCTTTCATTAAACAAACAAAATATATGCTAATGCTAAATTCACTCCAATTTTCCATTTTGCCATCCTTTGAGAAATAAGCCAATAAACCATTACACACTTAGCTTCCTGGGGAAATGAATTTAAATGTTAATATAAATCCTTTTAGAAAAAAACAAATTTTAACAAATAAGTATTTGAACAAGGAGGGTACTTAACCACGTTCAGAATGAGAAACGTTCAGTTCAAGACCCTTGGTGGCTGTTGAGATAAGCTCTCTAAATTTAATATTTTATAATAGACTCACACCTCTTTTGTTAGAAATGGAGAAACAGAATCATTTTCTTTTCCCCTTTATTGGAATATATTTAAATCTCTCCAATTTTATTTTGCTAATAGGCAGGGCAAAGTCTGTCTATAAATGTATCCTGACTTATCACAGGTAATCCCACACTCCAGTATTCATGTGTAGTACTTAACCTCAATTTAAATGTAAATTTTGGGCAACCACAAGTGCTTTATCTGTGAACTTTGAGAGCTCTCTTCATTAATGAGGTCTGCACTAATTATAAGCAGTTTTGCAAGGTTTCCTTAAAACAATTGCAGAATTGACCCCAAAATGAACAAATTCAGTATTTATTTGTTTTAAAAAAAATACTGGCACCCTTGTGCAAATTTCTAGCTCCCGGCTACTCCCAAGGTGTGCACACAGAGGGGAGGTGGGCAAGATGATAACAGAAATGAACTGTACCAGAAAAACCAAGGAAAATGAAATGAAAGGCAACCGGGTTTACCCTCAAATAGGACCTCTCTTCTTGATGAAAGAAACCATACCCTCTCCTCATCTGAAAAAAGTTTTACTATGAAATATTCTTGGTTTCTCTCTTTCTGACGATTCAAGTCAGGAATATGCAATTTAGCAGCAACTAATGAAAACAGCACCATTAAATTTCTCATGAAAGCAAAAAAACCCCCACAAAAACAATTTTCGAATACTCACAGGTACATCCACATATTTGGAAGCTGCCTTCACCTAAGGAGGAAAGAAGAGGGCAGAAGTGAGGCTGGTGTTTATGCTTCATTGTCCACAGCTCAGTGCTGTCTGTCATCATCAGTTAACACAATACACTGGTACCCGGAGCTGACCAGGAAACACAGAAAGGTACTAAAAAATGAAATGTGATGGCTATTTTCTTCCCCATGCCATAGCACTGCTTTGGAGAGAAAGAGAGAAAAGAGAGGAAGAGGGACAAAGGGAAGGAAGGGAGGTGAAAGGGAGGGGGAAGGAAGGAAGGAAGGGAGGGAGGGAGGGAAAGAGAGAGAGGGAAAGAGAGAGGGAGAAAGAAAAGAAAAGAAAAGAAAAGAAAAGAAAAAAGAAAAGAAAAGAAAAGAAAAGGAAAGAAACTAAGCAAATATTTACTGATTGGGATCCTGTGGCTGGTGTTTTCTCTGTCCCTTTAAAAAGAAGAAAAGTGACTCTAGCTAAACTAAAATTGATCAGTGAGGGCTTGCTAGTCTAGAAAAGCACCTAAGGCTCCTGTGATTTCTTGTACCTGGGGTCTTTTTGTCATTTGGTTGCACATTTGTCCTAATGGAATCCTTGAGTTTCAGTAAAGTGTCTGCAAGAGGAGGGGATGTGGTGGGTGGGCATCCTTAACCCAGAGGGGGGTAGGTATCTGTGGGTGGGGTTGAGAGGGTACCAGAGCCTTTTAAAGCCCGTCCCAAGGCTGCTGTTGTGTCTTCTGGTTTGCTTTTTAAAAAGATTTTATTTATTTATTTGAGAGAGAGAGCACAAGCACATGAGCAGGGGGAGGGCAGAGGGAGAAGCAGACTCTCCGCTGAGCAGGAAGCCCGATGTGGGGCTTGATTCCAGGACCCCGAAACCATGACCTGAGTGGAAGTCAGATGCTTAACTGACTGAGCCACCCAAGTGCCTGTCTCCTGGTTTTAAATACTAAAAACCCCAGATGGAAAGTGCAGGAAGTGGTTATGAAATTTATTTTCAGGTTTTGGGGAGAGAGTGTGGTATACTGTTTGAGAGCATGGGAATTTGGAGTCAGATCTGGGTTCAAATCCAAGCTCTATGACTTACAGGCTGTGTGACCTTGGGCAAGCTACTTCATCTCTCTGAGTCTCAGTTACCTCATGGACAAAATGCTACTAGTAGATACCTATTTCAGCTGGGTGATCTGAAGGTGAATGTACACAAAGTTCTGGGACAGAATAGGCATGAAACAAATGGTAGCTAAGATGAGCGATTCATAAGCAAATGTGGGTGGGCTCTATGTGCTGGGAGAAGTCAATGCACAGCTGGCTTTGAGGAATAAAACCTATGGGAGTATGTTTGATATTATGTGTGTTTCATTTGGACTCAGGTCATGTTCCTTCAGGCACAGGTGAGATCAATGGGCTACATTTGGGGTCTGAGAGGGTTTTTAGTCTTATTGGAAACCACATAGACTGCGAAGCACATCAAGCAGTTAGGACATCTTTCACATCACAGGTAGGCTGCTTCTTGCCATTTGGCTGAGTCTGATATCAGGAATCACAGCTTCTACCCACATGTCTCCCAGGAAAGTATCCAGGGGAGCATTTCCCCTTATTGCTCTTTTTTCAAAGCTACTTTTCACAATACCAACTCCCAAGGGAGAGAATCCAGTGAGCCAAAGGGGGTGGGCAAGAGCCCAGGATTAAGAGTCCAAAATTCTATGAGTGGCAGAACTAGTTGACCCTGAGATAATCACATCAAGTTCCACAGCCTTGGTTTCCAGAATGGGGTGTAATTCTGTGTACTTTGCAGGGCTGAGAGCCTGACCTAGTGAAAAAAGCATATGAGAAAGTGCTTCATAAACTTTAAAAGGCTGACCACACACATCGAATAGTTAATTATCGAGAGGGCAATGCATCCAAACATCTGGAATCATCACCAGCACCCAAGATAATTCCTAGATTCTCCTGTTATAGATTCTTTTAGACCCCTACATGCAGGACTGATTGCAACTGTAATTCAGTAATTTTGTGCGATGTCTGTCTCCCACAGAATGTCATGTCTTGCTCACAGCTGTCTCCCCAGTGACTCACTTGGTACCTGGCTTAGAAAGGGCACTCAGGAAAAATGGGCAGAAGGAAGGAAGTAGAGAAAGCAAGTGAGCAGGTTGGTTGAGGAATAAGCAGGGGAATGGCCAGATTGAGAAGGCATTGCGTGAGTCAGTGTGAAAGGCAACATTCTGAAAGCTGACCTCTTGCAAAGGCTGGTGGGTGAAAGAAGGCCCATTTTGGGCCATTAAAGGGATATCAGGAAAGCTTTCCAGATTTCACACAATTAACATTTCTACTAAATGATCCCCAACACCAAATCTTTCCTGTCCATTCCAGATGCAGAATTTAGTTTGGGCAAGAAGGTGGCTTTCCTTTCTTTTAAGTCTCCCTCACAATAATATCTAACATTTATATGATGTTTTTTGCTTTGCAAAGCAGATTCATGTACAGTTTCTTCTTTAAGCCACCCTGCAAAATGGGGGCTATGAAGCATATCTATTTACAACTGAGAACACTAAAACCCACAGAATTTAAGAAAGCATTTGCTCATGATCTAGGCCAGAAGGCAGAGAAGGCAGGACTCAAATGTGGTCTCCTGAGCTCCAATTTTTCCTTTGGAACTCCTCACCTCCTCCCCCATGGTAGAAATGTATAGGAGGAATTCAAGCATCAGTCGTTGGGGCAGGTGCCGACAAAATAATTCTTCTCAACTAGAAACTGCCTCCTTTGCTCTGTGCATTCGGTGCTTGGCAGTTGGTAAAAGTTTTGCTACAGCTGAAATGATCAACCTTTAAACACGCCTACTCTCCATTTACCACTAACATGCAGTTTCAATTCAGAGAATGACACCAGTCAAGTTCTATTCCTTTCAAGGCAGTTTGGGAAGATCAGGCAAGCTCTATGCCATGAATGAAAACCATACATTTGACTACATGCAGCAACCTTCGGTTTCTCCCTGGATAACTGTTGACTTATACTCTGTCTTATTGATCTTCCTCCCATCCCACAGTAACAGGAACAAATAGCTCAGAGTAAATTGTGGTCCTATGATTATTTAGAAAAATGTGGTGTATCCCTTTTGGTTCTGGCCACTGCCCTTTAAGAAGGAGGTTGACGAGGCTACAGGAGCGTCTTATAAGGAAAGCGAAAGCAGAGATATCTTGCCTAGAAAAGGAAGGGCTTGTGTGGCATTAATTAAGCAGCTTCCATGTGGAAAGACTGAAATTTTCATGGTGGCTCTAGAGAACGGAATCAGGATGGATGAGTAGAATGAAGAGCCCCAGGAGATGGTTTAAACGGCTCTCTCAGTCCATCCAGGCACTGGTCATCTCTGATGGTTGAGGAGCTCAAGCAGGAGCTATGTGGGCTGCTCTGGATGTGAGCCTTTCCTTCCCTGTGTGACAGGTTACCTCCAAGGCTGCTTCCTCTTCTGACTCTAGTCTCCTTAAGAGGCGAGAAGATTCCATCAGTTCTCTCTTTTTATAGTAGACATTGAGATACAGCAGAGTGAATAAACTGGCAAAGCCAGCATCAGAACTCTGGTTCCCGAACCCATTCCTGCCTACCATCAACAGTGTTGCCTTTAAACATCACATTTATTTTCAGTGTCCATAGGGTGTGTTTTTGCCAGCGATATTCTGAGAGGAAGGACCAGATCCTCCCAACCCATGAGGGCTTCAGAATTATTGCCAAGGGTCAGAAAAATTCAAGTGCACACCAGACACTGTCTCTAGATCAAATAACAGGCCTTACGGTCTATGCAAGATGCTTTCCCACTGTATATAGATGTTATTTTAATGAATAAAACACATTTCTTTAAGGGTACTACCTATATTATAGAATTTTGTCATTATGTATGTTTTCCCATCAGTGGTTCTCAAAAGTGTGTGTGTGTGTGTGTACGTGTGTGCTATTTTCTTTTCTTTTTTAACTTTAAAAGAAATCTTCCTAGTGAAGTAGCTAAAAAGATGAGCTCAGGATTGGTGGGATTGGTGGGGTTAGAAGTCTGGCTTTGCCATTTTCAAGCTTGGTGACCTTGAGCAAATTACTGAACCTCTCTGAGCCTTCTCTGTAGATGGGATGATCATAATATCACTCAAAGGGATACTGCAAGGATTGAATGAGATAATCCATCTAAGTGTGTAGAACAGTGCTAGCACAGGGTAAAAGCTACTTAAGGTATCTTTTCTTCATGGTTACTGGAAATATTGGCTTATTGGTGTAGATGAAGTGCATGCTCCTTGTCCTGGTAATGGTGGTGACAGTTTCACTCCTCACCTCTAGCCCATGGGCAATTTCTTGGCATAAAAAGGATGCTGGAATCTCCCCACGTTATCAGCAGGTATCTGAGCTGGTTCTCAGTCTGGTATGCTTTCTGCCAATTCACTGAACATCTTGTATACTAGAGACTCACCCTCAAAACCTTGAGGCAAACGGCAAAGATGTGTTGCTTAATTCAGGATGGCTGAGTTTAGGCATGAGTAATAAGGCAGTTCCCCAGGCCAGGGTGCTCAGTTATATTCAATCACATGTACCTCCTGCTCTTTGGGACCAAGCCATGTGCTCTGGGGTGCAGGAGATAAGGGGGAGAGGAAGGAGTTTGCCCCAGATACCTGGTCAGATACCCGGTCTGGCACATTTTCTAAGTTGGCACTCAACTGCCCTAAGGGAAAGGCAAGAACTGTGACTTCAGCCACATGTCATTTCCTGAAATCCTTGCATTCTGACCATCCCACTGATGGGACAAAGAATACCCTTTCTGTAGCAGTACCCATGGGCACCCGCCCCCTCTCCCCCTACCTCCCAGACTTTCCCAGTTCTGGGAAAGGATGTCAGAAGAGGACACACAAGGTAGAAGAACCTGAGGGAGACCAAGGATGATGGGAGGGAGACAAACTGTCAGTGAACAACTTGTTCATGTTCTCACATGCTTGAAGCAAAGAACACTTATTATGTACAAGGCACCCCATCAGGGGCTATAGATAAAGGCACTTG